CCCCTGGCCCGGCAATGAAAAGCACGCCTACACGCATAAGCCGACGCAGTCTGTCTGGCCAAAAAGCCTTCAAGGTCGACTCAGAGAATGACCATTCACGCTGGCCGCTGGGATGCCTGCGGCCCAGCCGGCACTTAGGACCCGACTGGCCTCCTGGCTGGTCTTGCGCTCCGAAGTCAAGCTTCTTTCTGCTTATTCTCTGTTCCTGTGTATACTGAATAGACTATTCCTACTAAACTGGCCTCCACCGACATGACATGACTAAGCAGCGGCGATGGCAAAAGAAGCCTGCTACAAAAATAACTACCCGAAACTTCGCCTTTGCGCAAATATATCAGCGTATGGTCTTAAACAGCTGTCAAATTATTAGGAATTCATGAGATCCCTTGTGTCTGAAATTTGAGTCTAGCCAAAAAAGTCAAAGAATGCCGATTTGTATAATCTAGTAAAACCCTGGACATGGGTATTCACGGCTCTACCGAACTCATTTTTTCGTTGAATCATAAATTTAATGCAAGTAGGCGAAACACACATTTTTGATACGGAGTGGGTCAGCTCGACCAACATATAAATAAATAGGAGATTATTTTCCCTCACAAAATGAACAGCAAACAGGCTCCCGATTACCAAACTCTTGGTAAGTAGGCTTCACTGAGCAGCGTAGTCCATAATTTCAACCCTGCTTAGCCAAGCAAAATCGATTTAAAATAAATACATTCTACTCAAGGTAATGGACCGTTCTGCTAATTGACTGTCTTTAACTCGGTAAATACTTTCGAAATAGCTGAAGTAACTTTCTGGTTCCAGCTACATAACGCTATCGTGCCGCACATCTGCAAACATTATTTCCCAGTTACATCCGGAACTAACATAAATGAAATCAAACTCAGTTTTTTAAGTTGAAATCTGGGATGAATCGTTACATCCTGAAAGGGGCACTTGCAACTAAGTGGAATAATTCGATTCAGGTATCTTTAAGTAGAATACTGCTGAAAATGAGCATTTTGTTTATTTAAGAAGCCTGCCACAAAGCAAAGTGTTTACTCAAAACTTCAGTCCGATGATTAATGACCAGTCCACTGGGACAAACGTTGGCCTAGCCGAAAACTGCATCTGAACTAAGCCACAATTTTTAGTTGGGCCCCTCCAGCATAATCTTCTTTGCAGCTATATTATGCATCAGCATAAAGTCGGCGAGTATGTACCTGAGGGTTTGGCTAGTATCTGTGCTGACGTTATGGTGAATAAGGCAACGAAATCCTCCTATGGTATCCCTCTCCAGTTTTACCATAAAAATTACATTTGGGTATGTGTGAGATAGCCTCTGAAAACCGGCGTTTTAATATTACGTGATACATTCGATTATCGAATACATTCAAATTCGAAACGTCCACAAAACGCATTAATTTTATAAACATGGGCATCATAGTTTGAGGAGCTTTTCTGACGAAGTCCCTAGAAACGTTTTTACTTAAGAGAAGTGCAAGTTAGAAATAATACTAAACGAGGACTACGAGGAGCAGAAAGCATTTAATTCATTCTTCATCTTTTTCATATCTCAATAAAATGTTTCAGTTAAATGTAAAGCAGGAACTAATATTTCTCTCTCTCTCTCTATGCCAAAAGTTCTCTGCTCACTGATGCTTGTATAACGTTGTTAGACAAATTGACAAGATGTATTAGATAGCTTTCTGCGTGTGTAATTTCATTTTCTGCGAGAAAGCGACCCAAACCTGTCCACCTTTCCCATGCTTGATGGGTATATCCACTGCTCACAGAGTAGGACTAA